GCCAGGGGAGGTTTATTCGGAAAGCATAAACTGGACATTCGGAAGCATTTCTTTACCGAGAGGGTGGTCAAACACTGGAACAGGCTTCCTCAAGAGGTGGTCAATGCCCCAAGCCTGTCAGTGTTTAAGAGGCATTTGGACAATGTCCTTAACAACATGCTTTAGCTTTTGGTCAGCCCTGAATTGGTCAGGCAGTTGGACTAAATGATCATTGTAGGTCCCTTCCAACTTAAATAGCCTATTCTATTCAAAAATTGGTTAGAACACTAAAAAAAACCCAACCCACAAAAAATACCTTTCCTACTTAATTACAGAGTAAGAAGCACATACTACGTAGCTTAGAACTATGCCAACTGTGCAAGCCTCTGGAAGATTCAAAACAAGCAGATAGAGAGATCTCTTTAGGATACTATGGTAGACACAAGGCTTCTAGGAATTTCAGCTATTTTGGACAAGATAGGCTTAAAGTAGAAATTGCAAGGAAACATAACTCAAGTGTTGAGCTAGAAAACAAATCTCATGGAAACACCTCAATAAAACTATCAGCCTTGCAATTCTTATTGAAGAAGAGAATAGTTATGAAAAGTATAGTTGGAGTGGAGTTAAGGAGCACTGGACAGGAAGCCTGGATGTCACCGAAGAAATCTTTACAGATCCTACAGTAAATGATGTCGATGGTCATGAGGAGCTCTCACTTCTACATGATCCTGTATGACTGCCTTTGTACGGAAGAAGTTCATCTCCTCTCATGAAACGTGTTTTATAATAGCAAACAGTAGGTAAATCTTACTAAGAAACCATTCAAAGGATGCAACAGAGGAGGTGTCAAGTTAATCTAACAGAGCAGGCAGCTTAAACACCCAAGTAGTACAGTTTGCAGAGTACTAGCAGACCTTTAAAGACAAACTGCTTGTGGCAAGTTAAAAGAGAAAGCTGCAGTGAAAGAACTGCAAGGACAAAAATTCCCTAGCAGAAGAAAAACTATTAGGCAAGATAAAAGCACTGCTACTCAAAGTTGAACGTTCAGGTTACGAAACATGTTCCTGAAGGACTAGAGGAACTGAAGATAAAGATATAAATTTTCCCAATTACAAAAAGCAAGTAGAAAAAGACAGCTAGCACTCTCTATACACTGTGAGGCCTCTCCAAGAAAAGCATGACCTTCTTTTCAATGAAGAGAGGTACATCCAACTCTTGTCTGCGTAAAAAATAAGCTTGCTAATTAGTTACTCTGCACAGAAGTTCTTCTACATATATCTTGTGTAATCAAAAACAATAAACCAAAAAAACCTATAGTTACTTCAGGTGGTGGTTCTTGGTCATTCTTCCAAGATGCATCTGAACCTTTTTCCCTAAAAGAAAAAAAAAATGAAACGACAAATTAGACAATCAAGATGAAGGAAGATAGTGTAAGGAGGCTGTAAAACATCTCTTGTTTGAGTCATGTAGTAGCAACATATTCCAGGTTAGAAATAATTTGCAAGAACTGTACTGTAGCAAATAGGGTAACACTTTCTTCAAGGTATCAGATCTCATAGACCAGGAGCTGCCTGTTTTAAAAGATGCATTTGTTTTTTAATGTTGTTTCTAAGTAAATAGTAATGTATGTGTCAATTTAGAACCTCACTACATATGTCACTTGAAAAGTCTTCCTACTTTGAGTGAAGACTGAACATTTCACACAGCTAATATTAAGCTTTGATCAATATTCTCTCAACTCATCCTTTTGAACCTAAATTGCTTTGAAACTTGAGGTAGTTCACTGCAACTGTCTCATGCTGACTAACTGCTGACTACAGCCATAAGCTTTCTTATTCTTCTGGTTTCAAAATACGTATCTCCAGTTAAAAAGGACAATGAACTAGGTTAGTAGGACACAGACTTTAAGTATATCTATAGCGAGGTGAATTCGTAACCAAAAAAACCTATAAGCTTGGCTTACAATTCTATTAATAGTCTTAGCTAATTAGGTTTCATCTTCTGTTTGGTTGTAAATATAAAATTAAAAAGCAAGGTAAAAGACATTTAAGGAAGCAAAAACTCAATCATCTTGCCTGACAAGCACCAAAATTAATTTGAAATGGTGTCATTTATTTCACCCACCACTTTAAGAACTTCACTAAAAATCAAGTCATTTCTTTGATTAGCAACAAATTTGTGGAACAAATTTAAATTATGCTGTTAAAGTCTGTGGAAGGTTTTTCTACACTGCTCGCAAATGTAATATATTTTGGACTGAAATGTCAAGACACAATCCTTATCTATGCAGACAAACTATATAAAATAATGCAATACTGAAAATTCTTACTTGGAAAATGGAACCATATAGTTAAAAACACCAACGTGTTCAGTGTGAAAAGTCTTCAATCAGTGCTCTAATAACCAAGGGTTTTTTTATGTATTCACCAAGTCAGCAACAATCAAGCAGCAATAGCTACATCAAAGTACATAACCATCGGCTCTAAGTAGCCTGGACTTAAGAGGCCCTTAGTCAAAGGCTGCTCATGAGAACGCTGGCAAGTTATCTGGAGGTACTTTGTGCCTCAACCCCTAACCATAAAACTGAAGCTCAATCTCTACGTATCACTAGAAAACCATAAAGACACACCGCCTTTGTGAGTATTAGCAAATCATATTAGCATGCAAGCCATTTTAAAGTTCAATTAGAAGAAAATGTTACAGGGAGGAAAGGAAGATAAGGGCTCTATATGAGTAATTTCTTGGCTGCAGAAAACTCTCTACCTATGCAATAATGAAAAGTAACACTTTTTTTTTTATTATGATCCAACTTCTTTGTTTCTTCCTCTCATCTTGTTATTTTGGGGCAATACGTGCCTGCCAGAAATACCAGCGCACGCAAGAAGCTCCAAGGCCTGTGGTCATTAGGCAATATGAAGTACTACTGACTGCAAAATTTAAACCTTTTAAGTTCTTCAGGCAGCTTATCTCACTCTCCCAAGGCAGCCTTCCCCATTTCAGCAAAACACAAAACACTTTTCATGCTCTGAGATACCTAATAATCTTCTGCAAAGAACAAGATAGTAATTCTTTGATTTCTGAACTCAGATACTGTAAGATCTGGAAGTCTAACAAAAGGTGACTCAGAGGAATCATGAAAATACATGAGCTTCTTTAGAATTACTTTGTTTCAGGCAATACAACATAAATCTATCTTTAGCAACAAATTATTTTGCGTTCAAGAAGTTTTACACTACACTTTCATTTCTTTTCCTATAAAGTGTAAGGTTTATTCATAGCACTGCAACTTTGTACAATGCAAGCAGATTGCATGCCAGATTTCAGAAGAAGCTTCAAACTTAAGGTTTCTTTCAGATCTTAATCCTGATTCCTTTCCCTTTCAAAGTACCATCACAATTTTGAGTAGCAGTTCTAAAACTATAAGCCTATAATACTCCACAAGCTGGTCTGCACATAGTCAAACTAACAAAGAGCAGAAAATAAAAATCATCAGTCAAATTTACAATCTGCTAAGGTCCAAAAGCCTTCTTGTGAAGCACTGACCGAAACTCAACTTTTCTACTATCCATGCCACCTTGGTTTCTTTATACAGATATTACAGCACAAATCAGAAATCAAAATTCTTTATCCTTTTTCAGTGATCCCTACTTTGTGAAAAGGCAGCTTCAACAAATAGTACCAATTGCCTCACAAAAGCTTAAGAACCTTTAGTGACAAAACTTGGAAATAAAATACTGTTTCAGTGAAATGTAACTTAAGTCACATTATGCAGAAATTATGGTTTACGTCAGATTACACAGGTGTTCACACTGTTCATTTTAATGCAGGGCAAGAAACAATGTCTGATGCACTGTTCAGCTGCACTGATAAGTCATAAAAGTGTGAAACATCTTACCTAGTGTTCAGTTTTGTACCATATATAATAGTAAGGTACTACCAAAAGACAAATAGTTCCCAAAACTCATTGCAAAGCATGTAACAAATTAAAACATGAGTCTCACATCTCAGATGCTGACTACAGCATACAGTTATCAATGTAGCAAGCAGATGATTAAAGTCTGTGCAGTTACTGTGCAAAACAACAAGTTTAATGGCACAAATCAAAGACCAGCTGGTATCAAAATGCTGCAGAAAAACAAACAAGCAGCAGAGTGAGAAAGAGATCTATTTTGGACTTCACTGAAAGGAAAAATATGCTTGTTGCTTCCACAGAAATGGGAAAGGAAGGAAAAACAAAAGACTCCTGCAGGCCTGGCCACATGCATGACTAAAAAAAATTATTCTGTATGAATACTGGCAGAGTTGCAATTAACACAGACACCAATATTATTGGTTATAGTCAGAAAAAATATGCAAGTCAGATGAGAACTAATCCTAATAAACAGAGACTAAGTCGCTTGTATGACAAAGCACTTTAACCTACAGTTATTTCAGACAATTATCCATCAATAATTAGAACACTAATGTCTTGCATTTATTATGCTTTATTTCCTATTCTGTATCTTTGAGTACGCTTCCTTTTAAATGGCAACAAGTCCTATTCATACATGCTACTTTCCTCAGGCAGACTGGGATACACAAATACTATTGAGAAGTTTCTGAACATCATACCACATTGCCACTCAAATCCCTCCCCTCTCCCAAATTTACAGCAGGTAATTTTCATATAGAATTGTTATTCTTCAACTGTACAATAGATTTATTGATAATTAAATTTCAGTTCTGGCCTTGTAACATGAAATAAAAATAGTAAATAAATATAAACTTGTTCAGAATTCAAACAAGTTTACTGTAAGTTATGAAACTAAACAAGAATCTGCAGAACAACAAAATCCGGGAAGTTCAGCTTGCAAAACCCATGCATGTGTATGTGTGTGAGAGGGTGTGGGGGAAAGATTAATGAATTTTTTTCTGGTTACGATATTTTAGGTAACACCGCAACATGAAAAGAAAGCAAGCTTAATATATTAAATTGAGTAAGAAGCTACTAAACTTTAGTAATTATAACACTTCAGAAGCTTGTAGCTTACAGCTACTCTGTACTGTTCTGAAAGGCAAAACAGTACAAACTTGTTATTACAACACAGTTAATATCTGAAAAAATAAAAGTTTTAGTGTCAAGTTTAATCATACAGCTTCTCACTCAAGACTAAACTTTAATCCAGGACTTTTAGCTATGTTAAAAAATACATTATAACCAGATTAGAAAAGAAGTCAGACTTACTGTTTTAGTTTCTCTGCAAATATATACTGGGTGAAGTCCTCCAGTGATGGAGCAAAATACATGCTATCTTGCACATTAATACCTTTTGCTTTGATATGCTCAGAGCTGTTAAATCTTAACACATAAAAGGGATGTAAAACAGGACCAAATATCTCAAATATCTGAAACACAAACAAAATTAAAATGTTTAAATACGCCACCAAGAGTAGATAGCTAACTTCATTGTAGACAACTGTGAAGCTTTAAGATGCTTTATATTTAAGTTTGATATATTTTCAAAGTGCAGCATGAAATAGTTACTTTCATGCTTTAGTTTTATTACCACATTGTGTTTGACAGTATATTACCCCAGCTACTGTTTAAGTCATAATGTGGAAAAGTAAGTTCTCACATGTTGATGTTGCCTTCACCAACCCAATTGCACTGCTTTCACTGTCTGCTTCCTCTACTTTAGTAGTCTTTCCTTTTGTCAAATCTCTATTCCTTCTCTCTCCATTATGCTTTCAAATCTCTTACACCTGGAACAACCTCCTGATCGTTTATTCCTCAAAGTTCATCTTTACAAGACACGTTTACATCAGTTCCCCTGTCTGCTCCCCAGTTCCATGGGGAGCAGAGAATTCTGAGGTGTACAGAACAACTGCAATTTCAGGCTGCGTTTTTTGGTTCGCTCACATCTAGCATTCAAAGTTATTGTAAGTAGTAACCATTCTAGATGGTTTTCTTTCCCCAGAAAACATACAAAATTCAATGCAACACCCCTCTCAGCAAACATTCTTCATTATACTTCCATAAAGCACACACTGGCCTTAAACTGGAACAGCAGCACGTAGATATGTAAACATTCCCCATTTTTCCTGAAACTTGACTCTAATTTCGCCAATCTTTGCCCCCAACTCCTGGCAATAAAAGAGCACAGCCTGTTATTCAAGACATCATACGTCTGAAAGCAACCTCTCCCTCTCCACAAGCACTCCAATAAAATAGCAGAAACTCACCACATATTGTCATTCTGTAAGGATGCAATGAATTCCAGGTTAGGAATTCTCGAGATTAAAAAAGTAGACGACTATAGCAAGAGTCAAAAGCATAAAGAAAAACTACATGTCAAGGAAACTATCTTTCATTTAGTCAACTTCAACACTACTTGTTGGAACATAAAAGAATACTTTGAATTTACATTAGAATAACAGCTTTTTATGCTTTAACACACACCTTTCCTGCTGCTTGCCGATCTTCTTTAAAAATTATGCTTTCCTCATTTACTGGAGGTAGGCCTCTCAGTGATTCAATTATTACTAAAACGGAAAAAAAAATCAATTAGAACTTTATGTTTTAACAGCAGTATGTAGTTAACCGCAAAGAAACTTAAACTACTCCATTATTTGTCTACTAAAGTTCATAGAGCTTCGCCTGAAAATTCTTGCACACACCCAAAACTACTCACAATTGTGCACCCCTTCTCCAGTGATATATGAGTGGTAAGATTTACACTTGTTTACAGAATTATTGTTCTCTGGGGTGGAGAAATAAAGGAGACCAGATGATAGGTACAAAAGAGAAGTCTCAGATATGTATGTATGAGATACCCATTGTATTTACCTGGGATGTTTCTTAATTAAATGCATAGCAGCAATAACCTGGTTTTTTGAGTACAGATATATTCTGCCTTCTTAGTATTCCAAATGAAATTCTCCTCAGAAAAAAGAATGGAGATGGCTATTCATCACAGCTTCCCCTAGTAAGTCATAAGAATCAGACCAGAACACAAAAGATATCTGGCAGTCCAGTCACAGTAGCAACTGGTGGTGTCATTTATGTATGCAGACACACAATTTGAAATACATTTCTGCAATTTAATATAATAGTCTTATACTACATTTGGGCCTAAATCCATGATTAATGATGGTATGAGTGGTCAGAGCGAGCAAGTCATTCCAGTAGCTCAAAATACGAAATCTTAACATTTAGTAGACTTAAACACTTATAAATGGACACAGAAGCGTATTCTTCCTCCATTAAAAACATAATTTGATACTGCCATTCTGTACCACGGATACCATTTCGTGGAGACAACTAGCAATTACAGTGACTTTTCTGAGTTTTTTTACGGAGGAAATACAGAATGGCAGTGTCACTACCTTCTTCTATGATGTTTCCTCCCTCATTACAGTAATTTTTCAGTATTTTGAACAGCCTTGGGTGGTTAAGATACTTCTATTGGTACTTCTTGGGAATATTGTTTTGGTTTTGTCTAAAGTTGGTAAGCAATTTAAGAATATCATCCAGAGATCTGCCCCAAGGCTGAATAGTTATGAGTGGCAGGGTGTGTGGGACAAGATGGGCAAGTA